GAGAGAGAGAGAGAGAGAGAGAGAGAGAATGTAGTGGATTCACTCCATCACCACATTTTAGCTTTGGTTAACCTCTTAATCTCTTTCCTAACCTGATAAATTAGTATTCTCTAAGATTGTTGTGAAGAAAAATAAAATAAAGATATCCAATGCGTGATGCAGGGCTGAGGAGAGAACTCAGTACCCCAGCACTCACACAGCAGCCAGGTGTGACAGCGTAGCCTGCACCCCAGTGATAAGAAGTGGAGACAGGAGAATCCCCGGGTTTTGGCCAGCCACTCTGGCTTAATGGTGAGCTCCAAGCAAAGAGAGATCATGTCTCAAATGAGGAGGACGGCACTCTTGAGGTTGTCCTTTGGCCTCTACATGCACACAAGTGCACATGTACCTCCCCATACCAATATAAACCAAGAGCACACACGCACACATTTATAGTCAAGTGGGGTGGTGCATGCCTTTGATCCTCACACTCAGGAGGCAGAATCAGATACCCCGGAGTTGGCGTTACAGGTGGCTGTGAGTCACCATGTGGGTCTTAGGTGTTGAACCTGGAACCTCTGGGAGAACAGCCACAGCTCCAGCCCCTGCATAACTCTGATTGGATATTGTGATTTTTCAATGCTGAGAATCCAACATGGCAGTCTTTCTTCATCAGAGAGTGTTGGCCTTTGTCCTCTTAACCAATTAAGTTTTATTCTGAAGACTGTCTTTAAATTTGGTTAGGGCAGGACTAGGGTAGTCTTTCAAGACATTTTACCCCCAATACTAAGATATGGCCCTTTTGGGAATTTCATGCCCTCAGTAGGTCACATGGACTGTACACTGGCTGATAGAACTCCATGTCTGGGAACAATTTAGTTCATAGCTTCCTGGTCACTACTTCACCAACTGGCCTTACACAAGCATATGTGTCAGCAAAGTCTCAAGTGAACCCTGCAAAGATAGTTGTAGCTGGGCGGGACTCCTTCGATCCCAGCACTCGGGAGGCAGAGGCAGCCGGTCTCTGGGTGTGAGGCCAGCCTGGGCTACAGAGTGAGTTCTAGTACAGTCAGCCCTATCCAGCCTTATCTCAAAAAAAAAAAAAAAAAAAAAAAAAAAGCCACAAAAACAAACAAACAACAAAAACAAAGAAACGAAAGACTGTCCTAACAGTTTTTGCACCTGTCTCCCAGTTACCTTAACTTCCCCTAAACTGCAGTCGCTGTCTCTTTAGTACAGCAAAACTCTGTTCTGCTTCAGATCTCTCACCCTGCTTCACAGGGTCCATCTTTATTTCCCTTTTCTCAGTATCATAGGCCTGTACTTCCTGTCTAAGCCAAGAATGATTTCCACTCTAGTTCTGCAATGCTTTAGTCATAGAGAGGCACTGGTAGAAAGAATTTACGAGTGTGATATCTTCATGTATATATATATGTTGTAATTTTGAGTCCTGTGATTGAAAAACAAAACATCTCTAACCTGACAGTTAACTGGAGGCAAGAATGGGATCTCCCCTTCACTTTTACACAAAGTCTATTTAGTTCAGTCTGACCTGGAGCCCATGACCCTACAACCTGGCTTATTTAGTACTGGGGTTACAGTATGCACACTAAACCCAGGAGAAGGTAGGTTCTCAAGATGCTTGCACTCTGTAGTGTTTGTTTCTATTAGGATGGATTTTTGGTTTTTTTTGTTTGTTTAAGAGAGAGGGTTTTGCTTTATAGCCCAGGCTAGCTATGAACTCATAACAATCCTCCTGACTCAGTCACCTAGCTGCTGGGATTATAGGGAGTACATGCCCAGTATATAGTGTTTGGACAATAAAAATTTGTTAAATCTATAAAATATACTATGTATTTATTATACATTTTTTTTCTTTTCCTTTTCTTGCTTTTTTGGACTTCAGGTCAGGGTCTCATAATCCCAATATGGAGGGCTGCAGGCAGGAGGATCTGGAGCTTTCAGCCATTCTGAGCTAAAAACAAAAACAAATAGAAAAAAAAAAAAGAATCCCAGGAGCTGGAGAGATGGCTCAGAGGCTCAGAGGTAAAGAGCACTGCTTGCTCTTCCAAAGGTTGTGAGTTCAATTCCCAGCAACCACATGGTGGCTCACAACCATCTGTAATGAGATCTGGTGCCCTCTTCTGGCCTGCAGGGATATGTGCAGACAGAACACTATATACATAATAAATAAATAAATCTTTTAAAAAAAAAGAATCCCAGGTCTACCAGGTGGTGGAGGCACATGCCTTTAATTCCAGCACTTGGGAGGCAGAGGCAGGCAGATCTCTGAGTTGGAGGCCAGCCTGGTCTACACAGCAAGTTCCAGGACAGCCAGGGATATACAAAGAAACCTTGTCTTGAAAAACCAAAAAATAAAAAATAAAAAGAAACCCAGGTCCATGTGCACTCGAAGTTCATGTCCTCCCCTAACACACTGCTAACTCCTCACAAAATACATACAACACACAGCCAGATAAATAGGCTCCAGTTTCTCACTGTAGACTATAAGTGCCCCAGCCCCAGATTACTACCTTCTCCCTTAAAAATCCGATTGCACGCTAGTACAGGAAAGCTTCCTGACACAGTTATCCTAGAACGAAAGTAGTGTTAATGAGAATAACACGCTGCTTCTTCCCTCTCTGCACCCAATTTTAGCCAGCTGCTTGGGGGCTTCACATCTTTGACTTTAAACAACATAAACACTGGCTCATTTAAAGTGCCAGCCTCAGATGGCACGTTCAGATGTGTTGCTTTTCAAAATAAATAAATAAATAAATAAATAAAAATAAGCCCCTGTTTCAGACAGCTAGGCACCTGGAGCCCTGTCATTTCCTGGTTACTTTTATTTCCTGATCCCCGAGAGTCACTTTAGGCTTCTGTCTCTGTTCACTGCTCAACTTGTCACATCTTTTCACCAGGGACTTCTTCTAAAAAGCATCTAATCCCTCATTTAAAAAAAAAAAAAAAAAAAAAAAAACAATGAATCAAGACATATTCCTATGGGTAATTCTTAAACTACATATGTATATTTTAAAATAATATTCTTGCAACTTTTCTAAAAATATAGTTATTTTAGCCCAAGTCAAGACACTAAAATCAGAAATGAGTTTTCCCTGATCTCTTATAGGGCATACTGAAATGATGTCTTTTTAAATTATTAAATGTAAATAGCTCATTAAATATAATCCAATTACTTTAATTGTAAAAAGGAAGTAATCACAGTATGTACATGTATTCTTGCCTAGTAGATTTAGTATCTTAAATTAATCTTTTCAGCATTAATATTTTAAATTAACCTTTGACTTTAGAAAAATGTAAACGATGTCTCTTAAAACGCACGTGTATTGTGTAAAGCTGTACTTTACTGGGTTTTGTTGCAGTTTTACCCACAAACAGCTCTGCCAGGAATAGTTAACTCCTTCAGACAGGCCTAATTATATCCTACCTGCCCAAACTTAACTGGCATTTCCTATCTTCCATGAATTATGTTAAAAGGTCTGTATAAAATTCTAATGCTTAAGTGGGACAAAAAGCCAAAAGATAAATTGTGTCGCATTCCAATCATTACAAAAATTTTACTTGGAAAGACAACCTAATACAAAATCTGTTATCAGAATGTAATAGCATAGTGGTCCACATGTTCTATTTCCTACTCTCTACTCTGGCTCACCGATCAGCTTCCTGGGACTCCCCCGGCACTCTTCTTATTTATTCTCTGGGCCCAGCCCCTGAGTTTGCCGTCATCACATTTTCTCTGTGCAGCACCCGGTTCTTCTGGTTTGTACTCTTTTCTGTTAAGCATCTCTCCAGCCCCAAAAGCTGACTCTTGCAAATTGTCTTCTCTAACCTGCACACCTGGACTCAGTTCAATTACTATAATAGATTATATACATATATGAATGAGGGTTCTATCATCATGCATGAATTTATGCCAGAAGAGGGCACCACATCTCATTACAGATGGTTGTGAGCCACGTGTGGCTGCTGGGAATTGAACTCAGGACCTCTGGACGAGCTCTTAACCTCTGAGCCATCTCTCTGGCCCCTGTAATAGATTCTTAAGAGTTACCAAAAGTTAGTGGGTGGAATGGGGTCTTGATATCTGATGATGGCCACGGTGCTCCAGAGGACAGTATCATTAAAGGACTGACTACAAAAAGTAATTTCACAGATAAAAGGTGCACCAGCAGCTAAAACTAAGCCCCATTCAAAATTTCAATGACTCAAGTTTCATCTTGATAACACTGGTATTTCTGTCCAAAATGTATCTTATTAGGCAGCTCTTGAAAGTTAAAAAGGTGTCTTTAAATGCCTGCTGACCTAAAATTGCCATGTTCCATACTTTAAAGGGATTGATTTTGTGCAGGACAATAAGATGCCAAATTCTGTTCAATGGAGATCAGAACGCTATTTGGTGAACCTATTCTGCACCTGTAAAGTAAAGTAAGGCTGGCTCACACATCCCTAAGGGAGGGTGGTATTTATGTGGGCTCTCTCTATGACCTCTTGGCAGAAAATGTTAAGAAAGTCCTTTTCTGAGGCTAAGGGGCGGACCCAGGACTTTCAACTACCCATTCAAGCAGGGTTACAATTCCCCTCCTCCATAATTAAGTTCCCTTTTTCACTCTCCATGCATGCATGAGTTGCCGTGACACTGACATGGGGGCCTGACATTAGCCTTTGAAGGTCATTTAAGTCTTTCCAAGCAGCCCTAAAAGCTATGCATCATCCATTCTACAATGCCTGAATGTAAGATTTGACACAGTCCTCAGAGAGAATCACCTAAAGAACAAGAGAGCTCCAAATATAAAATGAACGTATCAAAAAAAATAAAATATCACAAAATTCAGTTACTAAAGAGACAATAGTAGCCTAGCTGAAATGGCTCACGCCTTTTATCCTGGCACTTGGAAAGCACAGGCTAGAGGGGCACTGCAAGTACAAGGCCAGCCTGGTCTACTCAGCAAGTTCTAGGCAGCCTGGGCTATACAGTGAGGCCCTGGTGTCATCTAACACAGGAGAATGAACTTATTCATAACAGCAGCTTTATCTGGGAAAGCAGAAGAGATCGCTCACAACACAGCTGCTCTGCACGGCTCAGGCCTCACGTCTGGTTCCTGCCTCACACAGACCTTCCCACTGTCTCTGCACTGCACGTGTTCTTCACACTGGGGCTAAGTCTGACCACCTCCCACACCAACTTCGAAGGAAGGTCTCCTGAGGTTGAGCACCAGTGAAGCATCTCCACAGGCCTTGCCAAGGGCACTGATGGCCTCTTCCCCTCATGTCCTACTGGTCCTTTCTTTTTCTTAGAACTAGAGCCTTGTGAGCACATGGCAAGTACTCTACCCGAGTTATACTCTCAGCCACTTTTCCTCCATAAGACAGGGTCTTGCTAAGTTGCCCAGGCCAGTTTGAACTCCATCTATCAATCTGACCTTAGCGTTCTGAGTAAGTACAATTACAGGTCTGCAGTTCCAGGCTTAGGTCCACCTTGGTTCTCTAAGTTTTACCATCCTTGTCCTAATCAGACCACCACATTGGGTTACAGTCACTGACTTTCTTACTTGCTGTCCTGATAACCCGAGAGGTTCTTTTTTTTTTTTTTTTTTTAAGATTTATTTATTTGATTCTACGTAACGGACGGCTGAAGCTACGTGAAGTGTAGAGTGCCGTGACTGAGCTACCTGTTCTGGGCTGTGTCCCAGTGACATCGCGGTCCGCAAAAATCTTTGCGACCTGAAGGCGGAGGCCAGACACAGGCAGGCTGGGTGGAGGTGGTGGCCTCCGAAGTCCCGGGCCGGGGTGCAGCCTCAGGTGCAGCGTACTTTTTAAGACGCAATGAAAGCCTTCTACACTTTCTGTGTGGTCCTTTTGGTGTTGGGGCATGTCTCTGAAGCCAAGTTTGATGATTTCGAGGATGAGGAAGACATAGTAGAGTATGATGATAATGACTTCGCTGAGTTTGAGGATGTCATGGAAGATTCTGTTACGGAATCTCCTCAGCGAGTGATAAGCACTGAAGATGATGAAGATGAGACCACTGTGGAGTTGGAAGGGCAGGATGAAAACCAAGAAGGAGATTTTGAAGATGCGGATACCCAGGAGGGAGATACTGAAAGTGAGCCATATGATGATGAAGAATTTGAGGGTTATGAAGACAAACCAGATACCTCTTCTAGCAAAAACAAAGACCCAATAACAATTGTTGATGTCCCCGCACACCTCCAGAACAGCTGGGAGAGTTATTATCTAGAGATCCTGATGGTGACTGGTCTGCTTGCCTATATCATGAACTACATCATTGGGAAGAATAAAAACAGCCGACTTGCTCAGGCCTGGTTTAACTCTCATAGAGAGCTTTTGGAGAGCAATTTTACCTTAGTGGGGGATGATGGGACTAACAAAGAAGCCACAAGCACAGGAAAGTTGAATCAGGAGAATGAACACATCTATAACCTGTGGTGTTCTGGTCGAGTGTGCTGTGAAGGCATGCTCATCCAGCTGAGGTTCCTTAAAAGACAAGACTTACTTAATGTCCTGGCCCGGATGATGAGGCCAGTGAGTGATCAAGTGCAAATAAAAGTAACTATGAATGATGAGGACATGGATACATTTGTGTTTGCTGTTGGCACTCGCAAAGCTCTGGTGCGACTGCAGAAAGAGATGCAGGATCTGAGTGAGTTTTGTAGTGATAAACCTAAGTCTGGAGCAAAATATGGACTGCCAGACTCGTTGGCCATTCTGTCAGAAATGGGAGAAGTCACAGAAGGAATGATGGATACAAAGATGGTTCACTTTCTTACACACTATGCTGACAAGATTGAATCTGTCCATTTTTCAGACCAGTTCTCTGGTCCAAAGATTATGCAAGAGGAGGGCCAGCCCTTAAAGCTGCCTGACACCAAGAGGACACTACTGTTTACATTTAATGTGCCTGGCTCGGGTAACACGTACCCAAAGGACATGGAGGCTTTGCTCCCCCTGATGAACATGGTGATTTACTCTATTGACAAAGCCAAAAAGTTCCGACTCAATCGAGAGGGTAAACAGAAAGCAGATAAGAACCGCGCACGCGTGGAAGAGAACTTCCTGAAGCTGACACATGTGCAGAGGCAGGAGGCTGCGCAGTCTCGGCGCGAGGAGAAGAAGAGAGCCGAGAAGGAGCGGATCATGAATGAGGAAGACCCCGAGAAGCAGCGCAGGCTGGAGGAAGCTGCTTTGAGGAGAGAACAAAAGAAGCTGGAGAAGAAGCAAATGAAAATGAAACAAATCAAAGTGAAAGCCATGTAAAGTCACCTCGAGGGCTCCGCCCATCCACCTGTAAGCTCTGCGCCCACCGGAAACGGGAAAAGCACGAGTCCATTTCCCCCTAAAGTTCACATATTCCTGTGACTGAGAAGTTCTTAGTCCACCCTCCCCTCTTGGTTTAGAGTTCTACAGAGGCTGTAGATACATTGAAAGGGCTCTTTCACTTATTTCCTCCCTCATAATCAAATTAGTTTGATTATTTTATGAAAGAATGGTATATAAAGTACGTGTAGTTTAAAATATTTTTAAATTATAACGTGAATCATCAGTGCTTTGGTGTTTGAAGAACAATCATGAAATTTCTAGATGGGTTGTTGCTTTTTGTTTAAACTGGGCAATTGGAGTAACTGTGGAGACTGACTCTAAACCAAGACCCCCAGAGTTCCTATTGGAATTGCACAATAAACATTGCTTGTTGTTTTCCTGTGTCACATTAAACTTGTGAAAGAAGTGGAATTTAGAACCGGTATGTGGTGATGACTTTCAGAGACCCTAGAACATAGTGCAGTGTATTGGTTGTGTGTGGGCGGTGCTGACGACAGTATTATAGGAGGAAAGCTCCAGGTGTTAGGATACTGTAAGTCCACGGCAGAGTCTAGAGGTAGGTAGTACAGGAGCAGTTTCTCCTGGCCTGGTACTATGAGCTAATGACAGTGTGAGTGCTGAGTTTGAAGTAGTTGGATGTTTATTTTTCCTGAGTAAGAAAGCATGAAAAGCGAGCTGCTTCACCTAGCTCTGATCACCGCTCTGTGAGGTCATAGTGCTTTGCTTGGTTGCTGCAGCCTGTTGGGTCTTCACGGAGAAGCTGTTTTCTGTCTTTCTTATGAGGCCTCCTTTCTTCTCCCTCTGCTTCTATCTTGTCCACAGTTGAGGCTGTTATGTACTTTCTTGAAACAAATAGCCATTGATATGTATAAGTATGCTTTTTAAAAGTGAGCTTTCTTAAATGATTGAGAGTTTTGTCTGCCTCTTGAGGCGGGAGCTTTCATGGGGAGAGGCCCCCCCATCTGCATAAGCATTGGCTTGTTGAGATCTCTGCATTTTATAAATGCTTCCTACTGAGAAAGCATTTTTTAAGTCACTCTTTGTACCAGGTAATTTTTGCTGGGATGGGAAAGAGTTGTTTTTGTTTTTTGTTTTTTTTTTTTGGAGGGGGGGGACTGGGTGATGGGTTTTTGTTGATGCTTTCTGTGTTCTGAGGCAGTAACAGTGAGTTGTGGTGAAAACAAGTGTGTGCTGTTGCCTTGGGAATTATATGGAGTTTTTCATGTGGCTTTGTCTAGGTTAATAGAAATTGTGTGCACTGGGATATGCAGGTGTATGCTTTTTAACAGTTCACAAGTTTTAAGTTATTAAGAATAACACAAAATTGAATCACTTTAAGGCCATATGATTCTAGACTTAACATTGTTTTACAAATCTTTAAAATACATTTTAGAATCAAAATTGATGTGCTTAGTATCTTTTGAGTAATATAAGCTTTCTTAAAGTCCCATACATTCGGACTGTGGCAGCTAATTTTGTAATTTAAGCATTCATATGAACTACCTATGACATATATTAAAAACTGTTGACAAAAAAAAAAAAAAAAGATTTATTTATTTATTATGTATATAACATTCTGCTTCCGTGTATGGCTGCATGTCAGAAGAGCACACCAGATCTCATTATAGGTGGTTGTAAGCCACCACGTGGTTGCTGAGAATTGAACTCAGAACCTCTGGAGCCATCTCTCCAGCCCCAGAGAGGTTCTTTGAGGCTGGCAGTACTACTCATCTTAGTCTTAGTACCTGCAACCATATGGGGAAGCAACATTGCAGGAATGGAGGAGCAAATGAATGAAGCTCCACAAAGATAAGGATGAGGATAATATATGGACATCTGTTCCTGTAACACTATGAGGGAAGAGAACCAATCTTCATAATCTAAAGTATATTCCGTTTCAGAGTTTGGTGGTGGTGGTGGTGTTGGTGGTAGCTTTTCAAGACAGGGTTCTCTGTGTAGCTTTAGTGCCTGTCCTAGATCTTGCTCTGTAGACCAGGCTGGCTGGGATTAAAGGCGTGTGCCACCACCCAGTTTAGAGTTTGTTTTTTGAGACAGGGTCTCCCCTTCCCTCCCTTCCTCTCTCCAGACAGTCTCACTTTGTGGCTCTGGCTCACTCTCGCTCGCTCTTGGCTTGTGTTCTCCCTCCCTCCATCCCTCCCTCTCTCCAGACAGAGTCTCACTATGTGGCTTTTGGCTGTCCTAGAACTGACTATGTAGACCAGGCTGGCCTCAAACTCTGATCTGCCTACCTCTGCCTCCTGAGTGCTGGGATTAAAGGCTTGTGCTACCACACTCAGCATCTGTGTTTAGTTTTTTTGTGGGGATTTGTGTTGTTGAGAAAGGATCTCTTGTAACTCGGAGCTGACCTAGAATTTGTTATGTAGCCAAGGATAGCCTTTCTACCTCCACACCCAGGATAACAGGTCCCATTTATGTGGTGCTGGGGATCAAACCCAGCAGCTTCCAGCATACAAGGTCTTACTGTGTATCCAACTGGCCTGGACTCACTATGTAGACCAGAGACCTACCTGGCTCTGCCTTTAAATGCTAGGGTTACAGACACATGCTACCAAATATGAATTCAAGCTTCAAATTCATATTCTCCCCTCTCCCTGTTTGTCTGTTTTTTGAGACAGGGACAATTATGTAGCTCTGGCTGTCCTGGAACTCAATATGTAGACCAGGCTGGCCTCAGAGATCCATCTGCCTCGAGTGCCGGGATTAAAGGTGTGCACCGCCAAGCCCAGCATAAACCTCAAGTTTTTTGAACCTTCCACCTCAACCTCTAGAATTCTGAGATTATGGGGATGGGAGGAGGAGGCATGTATCTTTAATAACAAGCTTAGCTGTGAGAGTTTCAGGTGTACAGAGCAGCAAGTGCAGAAGCAATGTTCCAGGAAGAACCAACAGCCCAGTGGGGCTGAGGGACAGGAAGTGATGAGTGATGAGCCAATAAGGCAGACAGAAGCGGAGACACAGGGGCCTTACAGGTGAGGCTGTAATACTCAGAATATGCTGAAGGCTACTGGGAGCCATTGGAAACTGAGGGCAGAGAGTGATATGATCAGATTTGCATTTCAAAAGCTCTTTTTGGCAGCAGCGTGGAGAACGTACTACATGAAGGGTGGAAGACTGAGGCAGAAGCACCTGTAACTGATCGACAGAATCTCCATAACCTAAAAGGAAAACAGCGACATACGACATGTCACAGCAGAGCGCCACTTAGTAGGAAGCCAACTTCCGCCACTGATAAGAGGCTGCCTTTAACATTTAAATTACACTGCTCTGAGTAGTCATTCTGAGGCGGTTTTTTTTGCTTTTTAGGGTTTTTTTGTTTGTCTCTTATGTCCTCAAACTCTCAGCAAAGTGGAGGATGACCTGAATCCTTACCTCCTGCCTTCGCCTCCCCAAGGACTGAACTGCAGCCAGCGCCACCAGGCCCATTTTTTATGCAGTGCTAGGAATCAAACCCAGGTTTGTTTACATAAGCTAGGCAAGCACTCCACCAGCTGAACCACATCAGCAGCCCTGGGCATCAGCTCTATACTCTGAAGTACAGGCTTATGTATGAGAGAAGAACGAGGGCGAATACTGACTACGTCAAGTGTCACAGCTCTTTTTTTTTGGGGGGGGGTAGGGTTTTTCTGTGTAGACTTAGCTATCCTTGGCTATCGTGGAACTCACTCTATATGTAGACCAGGCTGGCCTCAAACTCACCGAGATCTGCCTGGCCCTGCCTCTGCCACCAGAGTGCTGGGATTAAAGCATTTATCAATACTGCTCAGCTCAGTAAGTTCCGGCTCTTTTTAGTGATTTGCAATTATTTATTGATATAAACTTTTTAAAAGGGCCAACAACCACCATGGTGGCACACACCTTTAATCCCAGCATTTGGGAGGCAGAGGCAGGAGGATCTCTGAGTTCTAGACCAGCCTGGTCTAGAGAGTAAGTTCCAGGACAGCTAGGGTTACACAGAGAGACCATGCTAATAAATGAATGAATGAATGAACGAATGAATGAATGAATGAATGAGAAAGAAAGAAAAGAAAAGAAAAGAAAAGAAAAGAAAAGAAAAGAAAAGAAAAGAAAAGAAAAGAAAAGAAAAGAAAAGAAAAGAAAAGAAAAGAAAGGGCCTGATGGCATATACCTATAATCCCAGCACTCAGATGGAAAAGTAGGCAGATCTCTTTGAGTTTGAGGCAGCCTGGTCTACAAAGAATTCCAGGCCAGCCAGAGGTATACAGTGAAACTCTGTCTCAAAAATAAACAAACAAACAACAACAAAAGAGACAGGGGCAGTGAGACACCTGAGTGGGTAAAATGCACTACCTGCCAACCCTGAGTTCAATCCACAGTGGAAGGAGAGAAATACCTCCTCCAAGCTGTTCTCGGTGTTTGTGTCCTGCCCTAGGAAACCACCTTCCTGACCATGGTATCTCCCCTGCCAGGTAGAATACATATATTTACTTACACACACACACACACACACACACAGGGGGGAGGTAGGGGGGACTGGAGAAGCGGCTTAGCGATTAAAAGGGCACACTGCTCTTACAGAGGACTCAAGCTGGGTCCCCAGCACCCACATCAGACAGCTCACAACCACTTGTAACTCCAGCTCCAGAGGGATCCAATGCCTCTGGCCTATCCAGACAGTTGCAGTCATGTGCATATTCTCCCACACAGATACACAATTAAAATAAGTCTTAGAAAATAAATAAATACATACACATGGTATAAAGAACCATGATATACAGTAAATAGTGTTTCTATCCCTGCATGCCTCTTCCAAATCTCTCTTTTTACCCTAGGATAACAATTATCCTGAAATGTAACTTCACCATTTCCTTGTTTTTTCTTTATGGCTTTATCATATTTCTATCTCTAAACATTACTTATTTTACATTCCTGAATTTCAAGTATCTCTAATTTTAATGTATATATTCCTTTTATCTTTTCTTTTCTTTTTGAGATAGGCTCTCACATAGTCTAGACTGACCTCTAACTCTCTATACAGTCAAGGATGACCTTGAACTTCCGATCTTCTTGGTTCTCCTCCTAAGTGCAGGGATTACAGGTGTGCACCATGACACTCAGTTGTGTAGGAGTAGGAATCAAACCCAGTTTCCTGCATGCTGAGCCATATCCCTAATCCTAAATGAATACATTCTTAGTAACGTTTTTTTATTCTGTAATTTTTCTTGAGATAATGCTGCTATAACTTATAATTTGTTTCTACTGATACATAGTATCCCATTATATGAACATACCATGATTTACTTATCCAATTTCAAAACAATGTACAGGATTTTTTCCAATTTTTATTATTTCTGTTTGTTTCCTGCCAATAGAGTTGCTGCTATGAACACTTTTGTAAATATGTCCTGGTACCTTGTATAACATAAGAGTTCTTCAGGACAAGGCTGGCAAGATGGCTCAGCAAGTGAAGGAAGGCATCTACTGCCTAGCCTATGAACTGCATTCAACCTCCAGGACCCACGTGATAAAGGAAGAAAACCTACTCCTATGAGTTATCCTCTGATCTACACACACACACACACACACACACACACACACACACACACTCACACACTGCGGCATGCTCATGCCCACACTCAGAAACACACACAAAATAAGTTTAAAAAAAAAAAATCTTTAAGGTAGACACCCAGGAATGGAATGCCAAGGCACAAATCCAGTGTGTTGCACATGATAACCAGGTGTTCTAAAACTGAGCTACATCTTTAACTGTCACACTCCTGTTTGTAAAGTTCTAGATTCTTTGCCAGCTTTTATTTTGAGACAGGATAATAAACAGCCAAAGCTGGCTTTGAATTCACTATATAGCTGAGGATGATCTCACATTTTTAATCCTCCTGCTTCTACTACCTGAGTGCTGGGATTATAGGCATATGCCTCCATGCCAATTTTTTGGGGGGGGGTAACAATTTTGTTTTTATTTTTTGCCAATATGATTGACCAACATTACTATGGTTTTAATCTGTACTTTCCTAGATGTCTCCAATTCTTTTTCTTTCTTTTTTTTAAAGATGTATGTATGTATGTATGTATGTACGTATGTATACAGCATATATGACTGCAGGACAGAAGAGGGCACTAGATATCATTACAGATGGTTGTGAGCCACCATGTGGTTGCTGGGAATTGAACTCAGGACCTCTGGAAGAGCAGTCAGTGCTCTTAAATTAACCTCAGCCATCTCTCCAGCCCTCCAATTCTTTTTCAATAAATGATTTAGTTCTTAATTTTTTCAAAATGCTGCGACCAAAATGCAAGCACCTTTGAAAACCTGGAAAGCCATAAACTACAACAATGTAACAGCAGCTGCCTCCCAATCATTAGCCCGAAAACTGGTCTCTCTCAACAATAACAGGAAACCACATGACCAAATCAAAGCCCTACTGAAACCCAACAAAAGGGCAAACCTGGAAATGTTGACCTGTGGTAGGTCAGGGTACTAAAGAATTGAGACAGAGACCGTTCACTCACAATTATCAGGTATCTATGTGGCATGTGCTGCGTGTA